CGCCCTCCTCCGGCCCGAGCCGGGCAGCACCCGGGGCCGCGCCGCGCGGGCCTGAAGGCGGGCGCAGGACCGAGCCGGCGCCGCTACCCCTGCCGCCGCCGGGAGAGGAGCAGGCGTGGGCAGGCCCAGCTCGCCGGAGTTGTGCGGGCTCCGCCGGGCGCGCGTGTGGAGCCGGCCGGCGACGGGGAGGGGGTTATAGGGCCGTCGCCGCGCCCCTCCCCTGCCCCTCCCTCGCGCCTCCCCCGGACTCCGGGCCCGGGACCCGCACCTCGGAAGCGTGCGGGGGCCGCACGGGCCGGGTAGGGCCCGGCCGCCGCCGCAGTGAGCACACACACGCGCTCACGCAGGCAGTGAGATCCATCCAAGCCCCGTGCCCGGCTCCGAGCACAGCCACCGGGGCTCCGCGCGCCCCTCCCTCGAGCTGCCCACCCTCCAATTCCAGCTGCAATCCTGCGGCACCGGACGGGGAGTGGAGGAGGCCGCCGCGGAAGCTCCGCCGTCGCCGGCTCGCCTCGCCTCTCTCGGGCCCCAGCGGCAGCAGAGGGCAGCGCCCAGAGCTGGACGCCAAAAAGGGCAAAAGCAGGCCGGCCCCCGCCCCCCGCCCTCGGGCCTCTTTCCACGGTTGGGATCCAGGGCCCCTGCCTCCCCCTCGCCATAAAAGGAGGGGGAGCGAGTCTCTGGTGAGAGGTGGGCCGGGTTTAGGGGCGCGTCTGGGACACTCACCTGGCGGCTGCCACGCGCTCCCGCCCACAATCCGATGCCTGGGGCGTCTGAATGAGGAACCTCCACCCACATTCCGATGGGAGAGCGCCCAGGTCGGAGGAGGGGGGCTGCAGCGTGCCTCGTCTCCACCCTGGACCCCGCGTCCCCCAAGTCCCCACTCCCTCGTGGAAGGCCGGGTAGCGGCCTGAGCCGGGAACTCAAGGGGCTGGGAGGGAAGGAAAAGAAAGGAGCCGCTCGCGGGGAACCCCGGAGTGTGAGCCTCCGGCGCCGCCGGCATCCTCTGGGCGCGCAGAGCGCCACCTCCGGCCAAGGCGGCGCACAGAGCGCGATGCGGGGGCAGGACGCGCGGGGAGCCCGAGGCCTGAGCGCGGCTGGCCCGCTCCCCGCCACGAAAGGGCGGGTACGCCCGGGCTGGGTGGGTTCCGCCCTCCTAGACCAGGTGGGGTCGGGCCTGTCGTCCGCCGGTGTCTGTCCCTCGAGGGAGTGGACATATCGCGAACCACAGCTAGAGGGGTGACGCGCCCCGAGACCCCAAAGCTAGACGGCCGAGGCCCAGGGAGGTTAGGAGGCCTCCCGGCGGGCGGGTGGCCGGCAGGGGAGAGTTCCGCCTGCCCCAGCCCTCCGCCCCCATTGCCCCAGCTGGACAAAGGCAGTAAAGGCGCTGCCTGGCGGGCGGGTTTTCATCCTCGGCCGGCCTGTCCCTGGCGTTTCAAAGGTGAGTCTGGAGGGGCCTCGGGGCGCTCGCCTTCCCTTAAATACCTGGGGCTGGGGGCCTTCTCCTGCGGTTCCCAGACGACCTGGGTCTACGCGCGCCCTTCCACAGGCCTCCACACACCTGCTGCCTCCCTCAGGCGAGTCTGTGGGCGGGGTGGTCAGCATGGAGGACGGAGGCAGAAGCAGGGTAAGCCTGGAAACGTTTAGAAGCACGTGAAAGTCAGTCCTTGTCCGTCCAGGTGGGACCTTCTATCGGAGAGGGACCCCTGGAAGTTTCTGGAAGGCAGCCGGACGCTCACTGCCAGGGCTCTGGCCGGACCCGGTCCGAGCTGCCCCCCACTCATCCGAGACCTGCCTGCACCGTCCCGCTGAGCCGCGGATTCCTCTCGGGCAGAGGCGACCCAAGGACACTTTTTTGGGTTAAGGACTCGGGCGTGCTAGCGGGTGCGGGAGTGAAGGAGGAGGGGCCTTATATTTCGGAGGGGGCGGGGCCCTTCCAGGTCTAACCTCTGCACAGAGGGTCGCCAGCTCCTGGGGGTCTCTGCCACCCCTGAGCGGCCTGGGTGGGTGCTTCCCTCTGCACCCATTCCCAGCCTGGCACTTCAGGGGTGCCTAGTTCGACTTTGGGGCCGGGGGAGGTCTGGGGATGCGGAAGGGGGCGTCTTCGACTGGGGTCTCAGGCCAGCGCGAGGGCGGCAGCAGGGGCGAGCCTGGGTACATCCCCCACCCGGGACTCGAGAGCCGCGCGGGGGGCGCGCAGGCCTCCCTCCAGCTAATCGCCAGCCGCTATTAAAAATAAAACGCGGCGCGTCGTCATAGCGACCACGACAACAGCTGCCCGCGAGGGTGGCAAAAACTTCTGCGGCCGCGCGACAGCCGCCTGCCTAGGGAAACTCAGCGCACCTCTCGCGTTAGAGCACCAAGGCCCTCCCTGGGGTGAGACAGGGACCCCCTAACCCAGACCCCTACCCTCCCTCATCCTCGGAAGAAACTGGCAGAAAAAAGGGAATGGTGCCGGTAGGACTGACTTGACCGAGAGGTCACCAACTTGGATGGGAACCACTCCCGCGTGGACCCCTCCAGACCCTCGTTCCTTCTCGACACCACGCGACCCTAGTTTCGGTCTCTGGAGAAGGGGCTGCGTGACGAGGTGGGGGTAGGATGCTGGGTCCAAGAGGACACTTGCGTGTGGGGCCAGGCGCCTGGGGGCACCGCACTGCCCAGCCCGCGGGGTGGGGGGTGACCCCTGCGGATCAGGCGTGGTCACGTGCTGCTTTCTGCCTGGGAATCGGGTTTCACTTCCAGCCGCTATTAGGTTCACACGGCTCACTGCAAACATTTGATAATGAGGCTAAATATACTTGAGTCAGAAGCGGCGGGGACTCGGCGTTCAGGGCCCTACAGGCCGGGCCAGACGGCTCCTGGCTTTGTGCGGGAAGGAGACCTCAGGTGGTGGGCACGCGTCTGAGGGCCCCCAGTGAAGAAGGGGGCACAGGGGATCTCCATGCTGGGGGGATGCTGGGGGTGGTGAAGGTGCACCTGGCGGCCGGGGGGGGGGTCCAGTCACCCCCGGAGCCGGGGCTTCTGGGCTATCCCCAGCATCCCAGGCGTGCCCCACGTGCCCGCAGGCCCATAATTAAGGTGACTCAGGTGCTCCAAATCAGCGCAGCCGAGGTGATGTTCCCTCCAGGCACCCAGGGAGGAACAGAAAGGGCCTGTCCTTCCCTCAGAGCGAAGGAGGGGCTGGAGGGGACAACATGCCTGTTTTAAGGGCCTGTCATAGAGCCAGCGCCTTGTGTGGTGTGCAGCCAGCATTCACCCTAAAGCCCAGCTCAGCCCATCCCCACTCTGCCGGGGACACCAGCTGGAGTGCCATCATTGCTGTTAGCGTTATTTCGCAGTGGGAGCCACGACTAACATCTACTGAGCGCCTCTTCCTTGTGTGACTTCCTGTCACTCACACAGACCCCAGCAGTGGAGACCTGCCCCACCCCCCACTTACAGAAGGCCAGGCCCAGAGCTGAGGAGAGGCACCGCCCCAGGGCCCCACCAGGAGGCTGGGGGTCTCTGATGCTCGAGGCAGGTGGACTCACTTGGGAGGCACACAGCTCACAGCCAGGAGAGTGGAGGACGAGGTCGCCGGGCTATAAAGGCAGCAGCACTGGAGCCCACGCCCACCTGATCCCCAGCCCCAAGGTGCAGGGGCACATGCAGGGCACACCAGGCCTGGCCGCCCTCTGCCCCTGGCCTTGGCCTTGTTGGCGTGGTTTGGCTGTAAGCTGCCCAAGTCTCTGTCCTCTCACCTGGAAAGTGGGGCCAATAACCCTGCCATGTGAGGAGGCTCCGCCCCACCCAGGAGAAGCAGCAGTGCACGCATGCTTGCACACGCACACGCACACCTGCAGTGCTGGGGTCCTCAGGTGGTGCCCGCTGGGCATCCACAGCAGACCTCGGCTGGTGCCAGAGCAGATTGCAGAGCAATTTGTAGTGATGATGAAACACATGCCCCTTTATCTCTGGGCAAGGCTTTCTGGGTTTGGGGCAATTAATACAGGAGCAGCCTCAGCCGAGTGGGCACCGCTCCTTGAAGATCAAAACTGCCCAGGCAGGCGTTAATTAAGTCATTATCTCAGGGCGCCCATGCCCTGAGGCTGGGACCAGGCCTTTCCAGTTCAGACTCCCCAGAAAGGGAGAAGCCTGCTGGCAGGCAGGGAAGCCGCGCTCGGTGCTGGTTTTTAACTCCCTACTCAATGTTTTAATTTTCTTTTTTAAATATGCAAACAGAAATTAAGTCTAAAATAGCATGTGACTATTTTGTGATATATCATGAGACACTTGGTGGCTTCAAGAAATGAAGGCTGGACCTGGGCTGTCAGCATAGGAGCCACCGGCTAACATGGCCACTGGGCATGTGCAAAGTGGCTGGTCCGACATGGGACATGCTGTCGGGTAAACGGCACACAGACTTAGAGTACTTAGTATGAAAGGAAAGAGTGTAACACTTCTCACTGGCAATTTTTATATTAATAAATCAGCTGAAAGGATGACATTTTTGATATGTTGAGTTAAATAAACTATGTGATTACAATTCATTTCACCTATTTGCTTTTCCTTTGTTTAACGTGACTTCTAGAAAATATAAAACGCCGTATGTGGCTCAAATGATGTTTCTGCCGGATGCTAGTGTAGACACCGAGTTCTTGTCTACACGGTGGAGCCCGCCAGGCCAGTGCATGGGTGGTGGGCGGAGCTGAAGACCAGCAGGCCGAGGACAGCGCTCAGCCCCTCCCAGCAGCCTCAGGCTGTGCAGTGCAGCCTTGGGGAGGCTGTTTCGCACCTGGAGCCTCACTTCCTCCCGACTGACAGCCAGCTCAGAGGGTTCTTTAAGAAATAGCTACTCATTCATTGAACAAATATTTATGTGCCAGGCACTCACTGTGTGAAGCACCAGGAACGACAGGCAAGTGATGCCCTTGTGGAGCTTACAGTCTCGCTGGGGAAACAATAAACAAGGGACAAATAAGTGCATAAGATTTCAGGTAAGGGTTTGGGGGTGGACAGGAAGGCCTGTTTGAGAAGCTGTGATGATGTAGCGTTCTAGGCAGAGATAACAGCATGCAAAGGCCCTGAGGCAGGAACCTGCTTGGCTGGTTCAAGGGACGGGGAGGGGGTGGGAGGGAGAGAGGAGCAGGGGGAGGCAGGGGTGAGCCCATCACTTAGGCCTTGAGACCCAAGTAAGACATTTGGATCTTACCCTAGGGGGATGGACGCCATCTGGGGAGAAACCAGCCCTGGGAGCCACGTCCTACCCTGTAGTCCCACCGCTGGGACCCCCGGCTGAAGAGATGGCCCAAATACGGGTTGGCCTCATCCTCACAGGGTTCCAAGCAGCACACCCCGAAGTAGCAGGCGTCGAAACAGCCAAAACCCAGGTGTGAACAGACACGTGCCTCTGACCCTTCTGCTGCTGCCAGGAACTGTGTGCATCGGGGTGACGGCTGCCAAGACTGGTCCCGTGTATACAGCTGGCGCTGCTCCTGCACGTCCGCACCCCACACCCCGCACCCCCAAGGCGAGTCTGGGCTCCCGCATCCTGTAAGCCTCAGTGCTGCCCGCAGTGGGTCCGGCCGAAGGACTGCGGTCCAGCCGCGCTCACCCACCGTCAGTGGTCCGGGATGTGCTGATATTACTCGTCTAAGAAACTCAAGGGCTTCTATTTAAAAGAGACGTTCGGGTATCAGAGGCTGTGGCTCTGGGCTGGGGGTGGCAGCTCCCCTCCGTTCTCTGCACCTCGAGTTCCCTCCCAGCCAATGGCGCTGCCCAGGTGACCCTCCTCCTGGGGCGAGGCCCACGGCAAAGGCCCCTGTCCTCCCTGGTGAGGGAGGCTGGCTTCAGACTCGGCCTCTTGCTGGCTGTGACCTTGGGCAGCTCACATCACAGCATCAAGCCTCAGTTACCCCACCTGGGAAATGACAGTTCTGTTCCAGGGTTGTTGTGAAAAGAAATGCAGGAGTGGTGTGAAAGCACGGATCACGGGGAGCCTCAGCTGCTGCTCCCCCACCCCCAGCAGCCCTGCCAGCAGCTAGGCCCTGGGCCCGCCGCCCTGGTAGCCAGGAGGGTGCAGGCTTCCAAGGGAAGGGCCGTCTTGTGGCTGGTGAGCTGGCATCTGGGGGAGAGACGGGGCTGGTCTGAGCTGGTGGGCGTGACTCAGTGAGCCTTCTGGGGCAGGTGTCCTATCTCCCCACCTCTGGCTCCCAAGGCCATGGGAGGTCGGCAGCAAATGACTTTCTTGTGAGAGAGACTTCCCCACAGCAGCCTGGCCTGCGTGGCACCACCCTCTGGGTTTGGAGTGCAGCTTCAGGAGGCCAGGAGGCATGGGGCCGGGGCCGGGGGGCCTGCAAAATCTCTCCATTGAGGCCAAGAGATGGGGAGAAGGAAGGAAGGGAGGGGGAGACGCTGAAGGGGAAAGGAAAGCAGACAGAAGAAGAAAGGCAGCTCGGTGGGGACAGGAGGAGAAAGCAGGGGCGATAAGGGCTGGTGGAGATGAGTCAGAGCCGGACAGAGAAACCCCGCCCACCCCGTCTTGCCCAGGTGTGTGGCTGTGGCTTCTCTCCTCCCGGCAGCCTGAGCAGCATGGAGATGGGGCTCCTCTGGCCTCAGTTAATTTCAACGGACATGTATACTGTGCAAACAGCCCTGTGCTAAGCGTGCGGGCCCGTGACGATGCCATCTTGACGACTGTCCCTGACCTCAGACAAGACCTGTCGATGCCCATGTCCGCGGAGCTCAGAAGGAAGGGGTCAGGCAGGGAGGGGTGCTGCATCCTTGTCAGGAGCCCCAGGGCAGCACCCCAGCATGAAGAGAAGCAGTCAGCCCACCTCCCGCTTCCAGTTCTCTAGACATCGGGGGCTCTTGGTTGTTGTGACAAGAACCCAACTCCAAGTGGCTCGAGGGAGCGGGAAAGGCGTCGGTCCACGGGCTCGCCTGGCTCTGCAGTGACCAGCTGTAGGTGTGGCCGGGTCAAGGCACTCAGCCCTCAGCCTTCAGCTTGACTTCCTCTACAGGGTGGGCGGCGGCCAGAAGCCCCTGCCTGACACCATCCTGGCCCCAGACTTTTCAGAACATCGAGGCTGCATGTCACAGGGTGTCTGGGCCACTGACTGTGGCCAGGCTGGGGACATGGTGCTCTGGTCAGCCAGGCTGGACCCCAGGCCCAGGACTTATTGGGTCGCCCTCAGCCTCCAGGTAGATGAGGCCACATGCCCCCTGACCAGCTGGAGCATGGCGGGTGTGGGGAGGGCTTTGGAATTCGGGGCGCAGTCTGCTCTGAGGGATCCTGACAGTCCTTCCTCCTTGGAGACTGGACGTCTGCCTTTTTGACAAGGGGCTTTGGGCCCAGCAGAGAGAGAACCTGAAAACCCTCCCTGCCGACTGTGAGAGAAGCTGTCCGTCCCCCCCCCGCCCCCCGACAGAAGACAGCAAAGTACTGTCAGATAATCTTATCCTTGTCCTGCTGTAACCCAGGGACATCTCAGGGGGTGTGGGGAGCCACCTCAGTGTCCGGGCGCTTCCCACTGGTGGGACAGCGCAAGGGGAGTGGCATATGGGCCCATCCCTTCCTGAGCACCTACTGTGTGCCTGACCACAGGGGCAGGGGGTAGCTACATGGCTGGCAGGGAGGGGTCCAGGCCCAGGGCCCAGAGGGGCCAGTCCTGGGCCTGATGACACCAGCTGTCGGCTGTGCTGCCTTTGACAAGTCACTGCACCTCCCTGAGCCTCAACGACTACAGGGGACTAGTGACAGCAGGAGTGATGCCGGGTTGCTCAAGGGAAGCCTGAGAAGCACTGAGCACAGAGCCCAGGGCAGCCCCCATCTAACTCTCAGTCACGGAGGCTGCGGTCGGGCCGCAGCGTGTGCACACACGGAGCCTGGCACACGGCAGGCCCTCAGTGAGCACAGCGGTTCCCCCCGCAGCCGTGGCCTTGGGACAGCCCTGTGGGGCCGCCCTGTGCCCCGTGCCGCCAGCTCCTGTGTCCCTTCAGAGCCCCTGCAGTGCAGCCAAGGTTATCGTGTGCCCCCCCCCCCCCAGAAATGAAAAATAAAACCACCCAGCACCTAAAACCCCAGCTTTGGTCTGCACTGCGGATAATTCCAGAACTGTGGAATTCTGGGTGTTTGTCACACACAGTCTCTCTCTCTCTCCTGCTTTGACAGTGCCCTAAGACGCAGTCATTCGATAACAAACATTTATTATGCACCTGCTGTGTACTGAGTGTGGGCCCCTTCTAGTCCCTGGAGACACAGCCATGAACCCACTGACTCACACGGAGCTGCCCTCAGAGGACGTGGAGCGGCACCAGCAGTCCTGGTGCCAACCCTGGATGACCCCAACCCTCTACCTCCTGTCCATCGGAAATCTTGTTGACTCAACCCTCAAGTGTCCCCGAAAACTAACCTGACCCCATCCCAGTGCCACCAGCCAGGCGCCAGCCCCAGCCCCGCCCGCAGGATGACTGACCCCCACCCCCCAGTCTGTCCTTACCAGGAGACTGACCATCTCTGGTCCTTCTGTGCTCCGAAGTCTCCCTAGTGACTCTATGATGAACAACAGCCGACGATGCTGGAAGTGCTGGGTCAGGCTCTGGGCGACCCCTGGGCCTTGGAGATGGGAACAGGGTCCTGTCAGCACCCTCCCTCACCAAGTCTTGGGCACTCCCCAAGTTAGAAAGCATTTTCCTGGCAGATAACAGGTTATAAATAATTCTGCGCTCCCACCAGGCTCCTCTGGCAAAGCCAACGTGGGCAGAAAGGAGACGCAGCCGCTGGAGCCCAGGGACGCTTCCATTAGCAAGCCTCAGGTCTGGCCCCAGCCCAGGCCTGCCGGGCCCCGCCTCCCACAAGGCCCTGGAAGTCAGGACCGCCTGTTTTCAAAGCCCCTGCAACCTGCAGCCCTGTGCCTGCAGAGCAGCCACCACCTCCCGGTGCCTCCCACCTGCCCTCAGGGAGCGGCTCACCTGCTGCGGCCAGGAAGAGGCCACAGGGGTTGCGGTTTGTCTAGCAAAAACCCCAGAACTCCCGCACGTAGCAAGAGCCTGGATGAGGGCGACCAGGTCCAATTCCAGGGTTCGTCTCTTTCTAGCATGTTCCATGGATAAGTAACCACTCTGGGCCTGTTTCCAGGAGCGATAGGTAACATTTGCTGTGGGTCTCGACTGCCGAGTTACAGCACCAGAGAACATTGGAAGCGTGGTTACCTCATCTCTGAGGCTCAGGAAGTCAGGAGCGGCTTAGCTGGTGGTCCTGTGTGTGTGTGTGTGGGGGGGGGCACTGAGGCCTGAGGGAAGTGGCCGTCCCCATGACTGTGGGCTGGGGACCTCTGTGCCACACTCACGGCTGCTGGCGTGTCCTTACAACGTGGCGCCTGGCTTCCCCAGAGCCACAGTGTCCTCAATGGCTTGTCCTCAGAAGTCCCCTCCATCGTTTCCACAGTATCCCACTGGTGACCCAGACCAGCCCTGCTCCCCGTGGGGGGGGA